AGAACTTGGTGACTGTTTATGTCTGAGCGCAGCTCACGGCCTCTCTGTTGTGTCCGCAGCACAGCGACGCCGTCCACGACCTCCTGCTGGACGTGATCACGTGGGTTGGAATCCTGCTGTCCCTTGCCTGTCTCCTGATCTGCGTCTTCACATTTTGCTTTTTCCGCGGGCTCCAGAGTGACCGTAACACCATCCACAAGAACCTCTGCGTCAGCCTCTTTGTAGCAGAGCTGCTCTTCCTGATCGGGATCAACCGGACGGACCAGCCGGTGAGCAGCCACACCTGTTAGCACAGAGCGTCCCCACTTGGGGCTCTAACAGCCCCATTCCCAGGAATATCCACTCTCATCTAGTGATCTAAGAGAGGCCCTAATTTTCACATCTCACCCGGTTTTCCATTTCTCCCGTCCCACTGTCATAAAAAGCAGGGTAATATGATATGAAAGAGGTATTCATTGCTTTTTATGTGTTTGAGGAGAAATTTTTACTTCACAGCAAAACTAAGGAGAACGCACGAAGATTTCCCATTTACCCCCCACCCCTCACGCACAGCCTCCCTGTCACCTACACCCCTCACCCAAGGGGGCACCTTTGTGACAGCTGGTGAACCGTCACTGTCACATCACTGTCACCCAGAGTCCACAGCTTCCATCAGGGCTCGCTCAGGTGCTGTACATTATAGGCTTTGGACAAATACTTGAGCTGTAGGCACCTGTGGAGAGTAAGACAGAGTTCTGTCACTGCCCTGAAAGTCCTCTCTGCTCTTGCTGTTCAGCCCTTATTCTCCCCTGGCTCGTGGCAACTGCTGATTTTTTATTATTGTCATAGTTTCGACCTTCCCAGAATGTCATAGAATTGGAATCATATAGTATGCAAGTTTCTCAGACTGCCTGCCCGTAATAGCTATCTAAGTTCCCTCCCTGTCTTTCATTCTGTGATAGCTTTTTTTTTTTGTTTTTGAGACAGAGTCTCACTTTGTCACCCACAGTAGAGTGCTGTGATGTCAAAGCTCACAGCAACCTCCAACTCCTGGGCTTAGGCAATTCTCTTGCCTCAGCCTCCCAAGTAGCTGGGACCACAGGTGCCCACCACAACCCCCAGCTATTTTTTTTGTTGCAGTTTGGCCAGGGCTGGGTTCGAACCCCCCTATCCTCCGTGTATGGGGCCAGTGCCCTATTCACTGACCCATAGGCACTGCCCCTCAAGGGCCACAGTTTCTTTATCTCACCCGTTCACCCACTGAAGGTCATCTTGGACGCTTCTAAGTTTGGAGGATTATGATGAAACTGCTGTAGACCTTCCAGAGTCATTTTTGTGTGGACATTTGTTTTCAACTCCCTTGGGTAAAAACCAAAGAGTACAATCCCTGGATTGCACAGTGAGAGTATGTTTAGATTTGCAAGAGATTTCCAAACTGTCTTGAGAGTGGCTGTACCATTTTTTATTCCTATTAATAGTTGGGTTGTACACTGCTTCAGAAATTTTGTTTCAAAAATTTGTTTTTGAAGTAACCATGTATCATCATTATTTTCTTTCCTTATTTTTAAAATCAGAGCAACTATTGGGTATAGGACTGAGCTACAAGAGGGACTCTGCCTAACAAATTCAAATTTTGTGATTTGGTTCTTTGCACCCTCACCTTAAACTAAATTTAAAAAAGAGAGACAGGGAGATAATAAAATTATGCAGATACAAAAACAAAGAAAATATTTAGAGAATAGAGGAATATCTTTGTTGCCGTAAGGGTCTCACAGAAAAGCAATGTCGCAAAGAATAAGCACACTTATTGAAATTGTGTTTTAAATGAAGGAGACTATCTGCTCACTCAGGCAAAATGGTGAGCTTTCTTTATTGCTGTTGGTTTATATAGGAAATCTTGTGCATGTGCACTAAACAGCAATGACCTCATAAATATTCATTACAATCCCTCTGCACATGCGCATTGGACATCAATGACTTCATTAATCCATTCAAACATCTTATGACCACCCGCCCTGTAAGTAGTTCCTCCCTGGTAATCTGATAATCCACCCAACTTGCACCTTTAAGCATAACCCTTTCAACATAACCAGTTTAACATAACTTAATGAAGAACATGTTGTCAGTCATTACTTTCTTTGTTCTTATCTGATGAAGCCTGAGGCTATGGGGGAAAAGAGACGATTTGAATGTCTGTTCTACTGACCATGCCATTTGGAGGCTGTTACTTCAAATCCTTAAGCAAAGCATAGAGAAACTTGGGCACACAGGAATTTGTGTGCAAACCTCTGCTCCCATGTAGGCCTTAAGTCAGGAGGGGTTTTGCTGGAGCCTTCTATAAGGAATTCTCAGGCTGGACTTCTCAAAAGCCTTTCATGAGCCCAGGTTTCATCTGTGCCATTAGATACCTGTATGCAATGGGTAAATTCCTCTTCTCTTGAGGTCCCCTAGCACATTACCATCCCCAGACCCATCAGAAGTAGTAACCTTCGTCACTTACCACAGATCAGGAAAGGTTACTGATGGGTATCGGGCCAGTTTTCCAAAGGGCTTTCTCATAGGCCTTATAAAGTCAACCTTAATTCCTTAACACACGCAGTCTGGAAATGCTATTCCAGCCAAAGCCTTGGTCATGTTAGGTCTGCAACTAACCTGGCCACATGGGATTCTGCCTCAGTTTCTTAAGTATGCCTGCACAGTCTTTTCACTGCTCTCTTTCAAACAGCTTTTTTGGCCAGAGGCATATAGGCATTTCGCCTATATGTCTTTTCTTAACAGATGTAGTTAGTATTTTCTGAGCTCCATAATAGACCTTAATGAACATGATACATTAATATTTATATGTCTAAAAAATTTTTTTCTAATGAACGTATTTTGGAAAATAATACAAACTGCTCATCGTATTTGGAGAACATAAACTCTTCCCAAATTTTGTTTGGTACTTTGTATCTGCTTGATTTCTGATCACAAATTTAAGCACCAACTTTGTACTTTACTATTACCACATTTAGTTGTATCAAGGGGAGGAGGAAAAGGGAAAGAAAAGAAAAAAGGAACAACTGTATCCGAGTGTGCTTGATAAAATGAAGGAGAGATATAAATAATAGACAGCATCTAAGGTCTAACACAAGAGTTTATGCCACTTACGGTCTTTGAGATGTGGTTTTGATTTTGGTTCACTTAGGGTTGGTGGGCATGGTGCAATGTTTTTAGTTCACTTAGGGTTTGTGGGCGTGGTGCAAGGTCTTAGTTCACTTAGGGTTTGTGGGCATGGTGCAAGGTTTTAGTTCACTTAGGGTTTGTGGGCGTGGTGCAAGGTCTTAGTTCACTTAGGGTTGGTGGGCATGGTGCAAGGTTTTAGTTCACTTAGGGTTTGTGGGCATGGTGCAATGTTTTTAGTTCACTTAGGGTTGGTGGGCATGGTGCAATGTTTTTAGTTCACTTAGGGTTGGTGGGCATGGTGCAAGGTCTTAGTTCACTTAGGGTTGGTGGGCATGGTGCAAGGTCTTAGTTCACTTAGGGTTGGTGGGCATGGTGCAAGGTCTTAGTTCACTTAGGGTTTGTGGGCATGGTGCAAGGTCTTAGTTCACTTAGGGTTTGTGGGCGTGGTGCAAGGTTTTGGTTCACTTAGGGTTTGTGGGCATGGTGCAAGGTTTTGGTTTACTTAGGGTTGGTGGGCGTGGTGCAAGGTCTTAGTTCACTTAGGGTTTGTGGGCGTGGTGCAAGGTCTTAGTTTACTTAGGGTTGGTGGGCATGTTGCAAGGTCTTAGTTCACTTAGGGTTTGTGGGCATGGTGCAAGGTCTTAGTTCACTTAGGGTTGGTGGGCATGGTGCAAGATCTTAGTTCACTTAGGGTTGGTGGGCATGGTGCAAGGTCTTAGTTTACTTAGGGTTTGTGGGCGTGGTGCAAGGTCTTAGTTTACTTAGGGTTTGTGGGCGTGGTGCAAGGTCTTAGTTTACTTAGGGTTTGTGGGCATGGTGCAGGGTTTTGGTTTACTTAGGGTTGGTGGGCATGGTGCAAGGTTTTGGTTTACTTAGGGTTGGTGGGCATGTTGCAAGGTCTTAGTTCACTTAGGGTTTGTGGGCATGGTGCAAGGTTTTGGTTTACTTAGGGTTGGTGGGCGTGGTGCAAGGTCTTAGTTCACTTAGGGTTTGTGGGCTTGAGGCAGGTTTGTTCTCATGACTAAAACTGCAAATGAGCAGAAAACTTTCACTTGGGGAAGACTCGTGAGGGTAATAAGTGTTTCTTTCACTTACTGCTGTTGTCTGGTGTGTGTCCAAATAGATGGAGTACTTTGCAATAAAAATGCGTTTGGATTCATGCTTGTGATTGCACATTCATGATTAATGACCGGAAAGGGTAAAATTACGGTGGTTATATTTTTAATTGGTTATCATATCCTAATGTGGCGGCTTCTCCCATAAATGCATACCTATGAATAAGCAATCAACGTATACATTTCTTCACCCCCAAAGCAAAGCCCGATGATAACAAAAATTAATAGTTGAAGTTCTAACTCTAAAAGGCAAGAAATGGGAAATTGTGTTATTTTCTGAGACGATATCATTTTATTCTCTCGTTAGCTTGCAATTCAAATGCTGTGTGATTTCTTTTCATTTAGAAACCTTATGCATATTTCTGTTTCCTGATGTTACATATGATATGAAAAAAAAAAAAAAAACTCCACTCAACATTGCAGACAGCAGGAAACTGGATTCTGACAAGTGTAATAGGGTGGTGAACAGCGACCCATATGAAAACATGGGTCAGCAAATCTTGTCTTTACTTTCCTTGGGGCTGAGGTGTCCTGTTCTGCACCTGCTGGGTGAGGACCCGATTCCTCATAGGTCCACAGGCCCCCAACTCCTCCTCTCTCCTTCACTGCCCCCCTAACCCAGGGAAACTGACCACCCTTTGTCTCACATCTCATGGATCTTACTTACTAGTGAATTCGTGCTACTCTGATAATTTCTATAAGTTTCTTGACCATTTCTAGCAGGAGCTGTAGAATTTAGTTGGAACTGCCAATAAAAAAAGGAGGAGCCAAAAGGAGTGGGGATTTCAGGAACTGATGTAAGAATAGGAAATTACTAGGTGATCCCCTGAAGGATGTAGTACCTCAGGAAATACACAAAATAAGGGCTGGCTTCCCTATGCTTTTTCAACCGAGCTTTTCTAGACCAATATTTAGTACAGTTACCAAAAAGTCAGAGAAAAAAGGCCAATCTGGAACTCTTCACTTTAGCTACCTCCATTTCTACACCTGTGCATCATGGACTTTCCAAAGTTCATCTTAAATCCTTTTTGAAACAAGCTGGGAAACAAATAAACAATTACTAATAATTAATCATCTTACCATAAAAGACTAAAATCAACCATAGTAGTTAGTAAGAACTCAACTGTGTTAGCACACATGTGATTACGGCCAGGAAAAAAAAAAAATTCTATTTTTTTCTAACTGTTATAATTTTTCTTATGCTAATGCTAGGCTGTCATTGATAAGCCATGATTATTGCTAAATGCAGTTTTCAAAGACAGTTTGTATTGAATGATACTAGTTGTTAGTATCTGTAGTTTAAGAGTCTTTTCTAGATGACGGCTTTGCAGACCTGTGGTGAGTGCTGTCTCCGTGAATGTCCAGTGTGGCTTTATGGCAGGGAGCAGATTCTGCCGTGGAGCACGTGACTGAGTCTCCTGTCCCTTCCCCAGATCGCCTGCGCTGTGTTTGCTGCCCTCCTCCACTTCTTCTTCCTGGCTGCCTTCACCTGGATGTTCCTGGAGGGTGTGCAGCTCTACATCATGCTGGTGGAGGTTTTCGAGAGTGAGCACTCCCGCAGGAAGTACTTCTACCTGGTGGGCTACGGGATGCCTGCCCTCATCGTGGCTGTGTCGGCCGCAGTGGACTACAGGAGTTACGGGACAGATAAAGTGTGAGTGGGCTCTTTGCTTTCTTTTTAAATCTAGTTGAAATAAAACCTTTGGGTTTTCCTGGAAGCTCAGGTCTTCCAAGCAGCGAGGGAGTAGAATTCCATCCACGGTTGTACTTTGGTTAGGACGTGATAGGAAAACCAAAATCTTCAGACTCAGCGTGATGCTGTTTGAGACCAGGAATAATCTTCTCATATCTACATCGTAATCTTGAGTCATTACGAAGGGAGGATAACTCAGATGGTTTTCAGGACATGGAAGCATCTGTCACATGAAGAATTAGCTACATGAAAAGCTGTGAGTTGTTGTCAGGTGCAGTGGCTCACGCTTGTGATCCTGGCACTCTGGGAGGCCAACGTGAGGGGGATCTCTTGAGCTCAGGAGTTTCAGAGCAGCCTGAGCAAGAGTGAGACCCCGTCTTGACTAAAAATAGAAAAACTAGCCTGGCGTACTGGCACATGCCTGTAGTCTCAGCTACCTGGGAGGCTGAGGCAAGAGGATCTCTTGAGCCCAGAGTTTGAGAGCTTGAGGCTGCTGTGAGCTATGATGCCAGGGTATTCTACCTAGAAGAACAGAGTGAGACTGTCTCAAAAAAAGAAAGAAAGGAAGGAAGGAAGAAAGGAAAGAGAGAAAGAGAGGGAGGGAGGGAGAGAGGGAAGGAAGCCAGGCAGGCAGGCTGTATGTTATCAAAGGACAATGCAGTCCTGACTGTGTCTTCTTTTCTTCCTGACATACCACTTCTGGTCACTGGAAAGAGAACAGGAGAAGGCATAGTTTGTGTTTCCCCAGGTGGGTGCTGGGATATAGCAATTCATTTTATTTTCAACATAACGTTAAATTAGTGCCACACATGTGCAGAGGTATTCAGTGTATTAGAAAGGAGTTCCAATAAAAAATTTGTGTAATCTACATAAACGTAGCAGCCGATATCCTCAGAACGCCTGAAATTTTTAATAGCCCCAGGAGAGAAAAGGAAAGTAGAGAAAGGAAAGAGATAAGTAGCAGCTTAGAAAGAGAATTTAGAGAGAGATCCAGATTCAAGGAAGGCGAGAGGACGATTTCAAGGTGGTGTATCAAAATCCTGCAGTGGTGTTTTACGTCAAAGGTAATTCAAGGGGCACTGAAAAAAAATCATTCGCCTTTGCAAAAGCCGTTTTGATGAAATGCTAGGAGCAGAACCCAAAAGTGGAAGGTACGAAGAGGCCAAGTGGTAGTAAGAAGTCGAGTCTTCAAGCTTCATTGACGCCCTGAAGTAATTTGATTGAAAAATGGTGAAGGAACTTCCGTGATGATGATCATGAAGGAGGATTTGAAAAGATGAAGTTGGAAGCATGTCTAGGGTGAAAAGAACCGAGTTGCAAAGAGAAGACCACAGGAGAGAAAACGCCCGAGGCCTCCTCTGTATTCAATATGTGCCTGTGGGCCGCAGGGAAGGAGGGGTCCCAGGAGGGAGGAAGGCAGATTAAACCCAAGATGAGGAAGCCTTGACTTAGACTTAGGGTGGCCTGAGAGTCCACCAAGGCCATGCGTTAATGTTATAGACGAGAAAATCAAGGGCCAGATAAATTTGTCCCCTTGCCCGTGGTTACAGAGCTAAGTGGTTGAATATAGCCCTAGACCAGAGGTTCTCAACCTTCCTAATGCTGCGATGTATTTTCATTGTTACAAAGGGCTCACGACTCACAGTTTGAGAACCACTGCCCTAGACGAAGGACCTAGGTGGAGATTTTCCAACTTAGGTCTTTCTCTCTGCTAGTAGCTCTGGTGCTTTTTCTGCAGATTTTGGCTAGGGCTGGGTTTGAATCTGCCACCTCCGGTATATGGGGCTGGCACCCTACTCCTTTGAGCCACAGGCGGCACCCAACTGGTGCTTTTTCTGTATAATAAATCCTATCTTACCACTGGGGGGTGCGGGGTGGGGCAGAGCTGATGGTGGCAGACAGATACAATAAACCAAGTCAGGCTTTTTTCAAATAAACTACGATTTTTTTTTTTAAATGGTAAAATTACCTTTCTCTCCTGGAGTGAATGTGCAGGAAAGAACAGACAAAAGTCCATTCTGAAGCAGAGGATCTTTTCCATCAAGTAAAAGACAGCACCTTCTATCGAATGAATAGGGAGGTCACATTGAGAGAACAGGAGATTTGAAAAGCTTTGAAAGGAACACTGTGGATATTATGTTAAGGATCCAATTAGACATTAATAAAAAAGATATCCAAGCTGCAGTGAAGGCTCAGATGAGCTTAGATAAATTCAATTTTCATAGAAGTTAATAAGCCAAACTTTGCGACTTTCCACCAGCCCTCAGCAGTCTGAGCTGCTATCAAGAAGGCAGTTTGCTTCCTAGAAGTGAGGGACGGACAAGAGATGCATAGTTAACATACCATATGTGCTGGTTCATGCACTATCCATGCAATTAAAAGAAGACCATCTAATTCTGTTGAGGTTTTTTTCTTAAGTGCAGTAGGCTATATAAAGCCGTTTGTCTAAAGTAAAAACTACTAACTATTCTTTCATCTTTATGAATTATAGTTAAATCAGAGTTCATTCTGTGGATCTCAATGACATCTGTAGACCAGACTAAGATTGGAAAAATATATATATCATCCAAGGTTGACAGAAAGACATCTTAGATGAAGGGCATTAGATTGATCACAAGTTTAGGTTTTTTTTTTTTTGTAGAATCAGAGTTTCATTTTATTGCCCTCAGTAGAGTGCCGTGAATCACACAGCTCACACAGCAACCTGCAACTCCTGGGCTTAGGTGATTCTCTTGCCTCAGCCTCCCAAGTGGCTGGGACTACAGGCGCCTGCCACAACATCTGGCTATTTTTTTGTTGCAATTTGGCCAGGGCTGGGTTTGAACCCACCACCTTTAGTATATAGAGCTGGCGCCCTACCCACTGAGCCACAGGCGCCACCCTGATCACAGATTTTTTTTATATAAAATAATTATATTGATGTAATTCACAAACCGCAAAACACTGTTTTAAAGTATACACTTCACTTCTTTTTGGACGTTCAAACTGTCATGCGTTCATGACCACTGTCTAATTTTACATTATTTTTATCAACTCAGAAGGAATCCTTGAGCTGTCATTTGGTCAATGCATTTTCCCTCTAAGAAATTAGGTTGAGTGATGTAGTTATTTGTAACCGCCTACTATTTCAATATCATTCTTAAATAGTTTAATTTTGCCCTCTTGAAGTTCTTGATTGGCTTTTCTGTTGTTGTTTTGTGTTAACTTTTTTTCTCCACAGGTATTTGCAACATTTTCCTGTTCCTGAACTGACTGAACTTGTTTGCTTTGTGTTTTAGTCATTTATTTTGAGATCGATGTGATTTTCTGGATGGTAGTGATCTGTCTGTTCCTAGAATCAATAACGTATAGTCTCTTGTGACTTTCTTAAAGCTTTGGCCATCATTGCTTTAATTTCCAGCCCCGTAACTGGAAGCTTTACCGACATTGGGAACAGAGGCTAATTGATTTCTAGGTCCTGATTTAAAACAAACCTTAATAATCATTTAGTTTTGTGATTATGACTTTTCTCAGCACAAAAACAAGCAAAACAGATGCAGGAAAAACAAGGAAAATGAGAGAGAAAAGGAAAATTTATTTCACAGACAGGAATTACACATTTTAGTATCTTGTTTCTTGTACATTTTAAATCAGTTGTTCTTTAGAAAGGCCTTCAGAATCATGTCTCAGTTCTACCCTTCAGGAATTCATCTAGACTTTTGTTGATACGGTTCTGATTTGCCCATTGAAGAAGCAGGTGTTAAAAACAGAACTGTTATTCATTTATCAGTGTTTACTTGAGAAGCCGAAATGAATAGATCCAGTCTGCGCCAGGCCTTAATCAAGACATCTTCCTAAAGAAAATATAAGCAATGAACTTTTTTTTTTTTTTTTGATAAGAGTCTCACTATGTCACACTTGGTAGAGTGCTGTGGCGTCACCACTCACAGCAACCTCAAACTCTTGCCTCAGCCTCTGGAGTAGCTGGGACTACAGGTGCCCACCACAATGCCCGGCTGTTTTTTTGTTGTAGTTGTCATTGTTGTTTAGCTGGCGCAGGCTGGGCTCAAACCTGCCAGCCCTGGTATATGTGGCCGATGCCCCTAACCACCAAACCATGGGCAACAAGCCAAAGCAATGAACTTTTACACAACTAGGAAGATTTCTGCACATTGAATCTCTGTCTTATTCCTTATTCTCAGATCTGTCTTTTTGTTCTAGTTCCTGTTACTGTTGTTTATTTCTTTTATTTTCTGTCTCTTTCTTTTTTTTCCTTTTTTTTTTTTTAACACAGTCTCCATCATAGCTCAGAGCAACTGCAAACTCTTAAATGGAGTGATCCTCCTGCCTCAGCCTCCCTAGTAGCGGAGACTACAGGCATCTGCTACTGTGCTTGGCTAGTTTTTCTCTTTTTAGTAGAGATGGGGTCTTGATCTTGCTCAGGCTGATCTTCAACTCCTGAGCTCAGGCGACCCACCCTCCTCAGCCTCCCAGAGTGCTGGGAGAGCCCACCTCCCCCCGCCTCTTGTATTTTACATTTAACATTGGACATTTCCCACTCCCCACTTGCCCCGTGACTGTCATCTAACTCTCCTCTCTCAAGTTTGTTTGCTATAGTTATCTTCTTGTGCCCTACATTGATTTTTAAATACAAATATGTACAGTGCGCAGTTGGAAATAAATTGGGATTAGCCAGAATTCAGAGGAATACCCTCAGGTATTTTACATTTACTGGTTCTATTCCGATACCCTCTAAGTCAGTGGTTCTCAACCTTCCTAATGCTGTGACCCTTTAATACAGTTCCTCATGTTGCTGTGACCCCCAACCATCCGCAACCCTTTAATACAGTTCCTCATGTTGTGATGACCCCCAACCATCGGGAACCCTTTAATATAGTTCCTCATGTTGTGGTAACCCCCCCAACCAATTATTTTTGTTGCTACTTTGTAACTGTAATTTGGCTACTATTATGAATCGTAATTTAAATATCGGATATGCAGGAGACCCTCAAAGGGTCGTGACCCACAGGTTGAGAACCGCTGCTCTAAGTAATGTTTCCTATGAAATGTTATTAAGGCTGTGGAATGTATTACTCTGTACAAAACACACTCACACCCAAAGCATACATAATTTAATTTTGAGAAGCTGCTTGGTTTGCCATCAATTTGTGGTGTGTGTAAGAGAGTCATTATTTTTTGATGTCTGTTTAACAAAGTCTTTTTATCTGTACTGACATCATACTCAAGAATATACTTAAAATAATTTTTTTGTCACAATAATCAGACATTTAAAAATCCATTTAAAATACTAGTAGTTTTTTCTTTTTCAATAACTTTCTTTTAATGAACCACAGGTCCAAATTGCATTGCTAATCATAGGCATTTATCTCCGTTTATCTCTGGTTTTGCCTCTCATAGTGGTGTTCACACGGACATTTAGCAAAGACATCTGATAATACTGTCGGAAGGCTGGCCCTGGACTTGGCACCCATAGCACAGTGGTTATGGCACCGGCCATATACGCCGAGGCTGGCGGGTTTGAACCCAGCCCAGGCCTGCTAAACAACAATGACAACTGCAACAAAAAAATAGCCGGGCATTGTGGCAGGTGCCTGTAGTCCCAGCTACTTGACAGGCTGAGGCAGGAGAATTGCTTAAGCCCAAGAGTTTGAGGTTGCTGTGAGCTGTGATGCCACAGCATTCTACCCAGGGCAACAAAGTGAGACTCTGTCTCAAAAAACAAACCAAAAAAAGAATAAGAAGACTGGCCTTGCATGGACAATAATTCAAATAGGACATATTTAGAAATCCAGTACTAAATACTTCAGTTTTATGACTTGAAACTAATCAGTTCATTTAAATGTTAAAAACTGTGGTACCACAAAAAAATACAGCCTATTTGAACAGTTAATTTTTTTTAAAGAAAAAAGTCATGTTAACACTTTTTAGCATTTTCTACACGATCTCTTGTATATAGCTAAGAAAAAAAAAAAAAGGTGGTTATTGTCCTGGGGATTAAAAGAAGGGAATAGAATTGGACACTAAGAGGACAGCAGGCACCAAGTCCAGATAATTGTTTAAGACACAAAGTCTGAGCTAGAAAATTGATAAGCGGGTTCTAAAAAATGTGGGTGAATTCATGAACATCTATAACCGATCAGAATATCCTGAGTACTGGAAGAATAGCTAAGCTCTTAAAAATAAGTGAAATCAAATGTTATGACCTGAGAATTGTTATAAATCACCTATTAAATCTTACATTTGTCTCTCTAGCTTACTAGCTTAAAAGCATCTCTAAAAGGGGTAGTCCCTCCTCTGTTAGTTAAAAGCCCCCAAATTTCTTTATTTTCATTTCATTATCTAAGTAGCATAATCATTAGGGTAGGAAAGTGATTATTGATTTGTTTTTTAAATACAAAGTTATAGTATTAAGAAAGAGCTTAGCCAAGGAATGGTGAAGTTGACAGTATCAGCAAGTTGTAGGCACAGATTGAATTAACATATTTGCTCACAGTTTCCAAGCATTTCAACTCACTCGTAAGAAATTACATTTTCCTTTGGAGTATTTTTCTAAGCAATTACTGTGTGATGTTATAAAATATACTTTCATATAAAATGTTATTGATGTGAGGCGTCCACCTGGCTGGTATGTCATTACCAGGTGTGTCTGACTGTAGCTTGACCGGTGAGAAAGAGCCCAGATAATAAAGTGCTTTCCATGGACCTATCAAGGTAACCTCTCAACATGTATGTGGAGAGTGCATGTGTGTGCTAATATTTAACTTTATTATTTGAGACACAGTCTCACCTTGCCACCTTCATAGAGTGATATGGCATCACAGCTCACAACAACCTCAAACAGTTGGGCTCAAGTGATCCTCTTGCCTCAGCCTCCCAAGTAGCTGGAACTACAGGCGCCCACAACACCTGGCTATTTTTTAGACATGGGATCTCACTCTTGCTTTGGCTGGTCTCGAACTCCTGAGCTGACAGAATCCTCCCACCTCCACCTCCCAGAGTGCTAGAATTATAGTTGTCTTGTTGTTTTCCAAATTCAACGAAATGTTGGATTTAACATCAAATATTTGGATGTGAGTTAATATGGGAACCAGAGAAGTTTGATAACTTCCTCAGCTCTCAGGAACATCGAGAGGTTACTTTATAATGTAGTATAACTTTATGCACTAGGATGACTGTAATAAAACACATATAACAACTGAAGTTGTTGAACGTGTGGAAACCCTGGGACAGGCGTGTGCTGCCGGCTGGTGTGTCAGTGGCACAGCCAGCTACTTCAGAAAGTAGGAGGACAGATCTTCAAAATGCTAACACAGTTACCATCAGACCCAGCAAACCCACCCCTAAGTATTTACCCTGGAAAAATGAAAACATAGGTGAACATGAAAACTCGTATACAACACGCAGTCTTCATAGCAGCAATATTTATGTTAGCCAAAAAGTGGATACTTTGGGGCTATCATAAAAGGCCAATGTTCATCAAATGATGAAAATATATATATATATTTTTTGCAGTTTTTGGCCATGGCCAGGTTTGAACCCACCACCTCTGGTATATGGGGCTAGGGCCCTACTCCTTTGAGCCACAGGTGCTGCCCCAATGAAAATATTTTTTAATGTGATACATCTCTATGATATAATATTTGGGGCACTAAAAATTAAGTATTAATGTGTGCTACAAAATGAACCAACCTTGATAATTTGGGGGTAAAGTTGTGAAAGTCTGTATGTTACAAGTTCTCTTTTGTATAAAATGTCCAGAACAGGCAAATTCTACAGGTAAAATTTACAGTGGTTTTTAGGACAAGGGAGAGAATAGGGGGAACCAGTGCAGGCCAGTGGGGGGGAGGGCAGAGGGGCAGGGTGGTGACAGGTGTAATAAAACTAAAGTTAGATTAAACTGGTGGTTTCACAGCTCTTAAATATACTAAACATACTTAATTATAAATTATGATTGTGATACATATCTTATATTCCCATAAAGCAGCTTAATAATACTAAATTTTTCATCTCTTGAGGACCTGATAGTTAGAAAGACTTTTTTTTTTATTTTGCAGTTTTGGGC